AATCTACATCCCATTTATTTAGACAGGAATGTCATGCACCAAAAGGTGGAGTCCAAAGCACCCAAAAAGGGTGACTAAGTGGTCATTGTATGTGGCATAGTGACTGCTCTAGTTGTGAAAAGGAAGGTTGACAGAGAGAGAATATAGTCATCTGCTAGTTGCCTGGTTGTTGCAATGGTGGAAAGCTCCACCATCCACACTCTTTTGCTAGCAATAACACAATGGTTATGGGGTAAAGGAGACAAGTGTTAATAGCAAGGTGTTAACAGCTTGGGGAGGCCTTGGATCTGTAGGAACTGCTACCCATTCCACTGACATGCCCCTAGATGAGAAACATGCAATCAGCCCTGGAGCCATCATGTGTTTTTCTTTCCCATTAAAACCAACAAGAGGGAAAATAAGAGGGACAACAAACAAGTCAAAGAAAAATATTTAGGGACAAAATATCATAGACACTTTCTGCCTAGGCCAGAATGAGCCACGTTGGGTCCTGAAGGACCTGAGCAGGGAGGGAGGCAGAGGATAGAGGGGCTTGAAGACATATCATTCACATGAGTCAAGATCAACTTGAAAGCAGCTAACAGCAACGAACTGCACAGTTGATTGCCAAATGGTGCAGAGAGCTACGAGGGGGAAAGATGTCAAGAAAGTTTTGCTGTGCAACTGGCGCTGTGGTACTATCACAGCATTAGATTTAGGCCTTTAACCTGTTTAGTGGCATGTAACACTGTTCATACAGACATCTTACTCCTGTATTTACAGCCTTTCAGTAAAATGTTTCATAAAAGGTTGAATCTCCCTATCTGGAATTCTAAAATCCGTTATTGTCCACATGGGTGGTTGAGATAGTAACACCTTTATTTTCTGATGGTTCAGTGTACACAAACATTGTTTCTCACACAAAATTATTTTAAAATATTGTGTATAAAATGTGAATAATGTGTATATGAAACATAAATGAATTTCACATTTAGACTTGAGTCTCATCTTCATTCTGTATATTCAATATTCCAAAATCCGAAAAACTCCAAAATCTAAAACATGTCTGTTTCTAAGCATTTCAGATGAGGGAGATTCAACTTGTACTAGAGCATGCACAAAGTTGGTACAAGTAAAACAGAAGAGAGACTCTAATTGTTACTTATTTAGAATCCCACATTCAATTGATTCGCAGTTACTTTCTCAGCAGTTATATATTCCCACAAAGAATATCCTTTCAAAATTTAAAATTTAATTTCATTCCCATAGATATCTTTTCCTTCCACAAGAATCTGTTGAACAATCAGATAATATCAATGTATTGCCATGTCAGAATCATGTTAATATCTAATTTGCTGCCATCGGCTTGTTAAAGTATGAAAAGCTTAACTCCCTTTGAATGTATTAATAAAAGGAGCAATCAGGCATTTATTGGTATTATAATTCCTGAGTTAATTATAAATCAGCTTGAGGTATATCTTCTGTACTTAAAAAGCATGCTCAAATCTTCTGATGGAAAATTAGCATACTAGAACTTCCTCATCAAAGTAAAATGTGTTCTTGATGATCTTTAAAGCATCTTAGAAAGAGCGATGAAATAAGATCTGGGGTGGCCACACAACTGTAGAGCAATGCTAACTCTTTGGTCCATCATTCCACCATAAAGGAAAGTGGAAAAACCAGCACTTTGTAGAAAAGGGCTTATCCTCATGTGTTTCATATCATTATTGACTGAATCCATTACATAAGAAAACATGTTGCACTTTTGTTTGGTTGCTTGCTTGATTACAAGATTAACTAGTAAATACATCAACAAACCTGTACATATATTCTTATGCTGCATATTTTATATATAAGAAACTGTTTCCAGCCACATCCTTTTGAAAGCCACAGCACGTACTACAACAATACAATTGTTTTCAGTAGCAGAACATAAAATATGAAGAATATTTCCACATGCTAGGATCATGATGGCAAAACTATGGCATGTGTGGCAGAGATGGTACACAAGTCAATTTTCCCAGGCACATGGAGGGCTTGGAGGAAGAGGAAGAGGTGTGCACTTGAAGGTCAGAGATGATGCCTTGCACTGTGCTTGCGTATGTTCCTCCTCCTTCCAGCTGCCTCTGGAGAAGTCCCGCCTTGGAAGTCCTGCCCCCGGAGGGCAGATGTTCCATCCTGGCACCAGGTAACATCCCATGCCAGAAGGCCTTTTAGTTTGGGCACTCGGCTCCTAAAAGGTTTGCCATCACTATGCTAGGATAATTCTCTTTCCTACCTTATTTTAATGCAGTTGTAATGTATCCTTTGTGGTTGTTTATGATGTCACAGGAAAATCACTGTGACATCTTGTCTGCTGTTGGGGAGAGTCCTAATGTCTGAACTTTCAACAAATCCAAAGCCTTGCTGATGTGAACTTGGCAAGGTAGAAAAGAATGAAGAATAGCCCCTGGGACATATGGGGGAGAGGGAGGGGAAGAAGAGAGAATGAATTCCTTGTCACTAAGAAATATGGGAAGAGACTGATCATCAACCATTTGGGAGAGCTCTGGTCACCTTGGTGGATGACCTGCAACATCAAGAATTGGACAGGGGAAGTGTGTCCCTATTGGTTCTTCAGGACTTCTCAGTGGCTTTTGATCCCATCAACCATGATATCTTTCTGGGCTGCCTCTCTGGCATGAGACTTGAAGGCATTGTTTTACTATGACTCCAATATTTCTCAGAGGAGTGAACTCAGAAGCTGGTACTGCAAGATTCCTTTTCATGTCCTGGTCATTGGCCCTAAGAGTACATTTCTGTTCCCTTTATATTTAATATAGACATGAAACTGCTGAAGGGAACAGAAATGTACTCTTAGGGTGCTTGTCTGGAGGTTGGGGGCTTTGTGCCACCTGAATGCTGGTGATATCCAGCTCTGTCTGTTTCATTCTAAGAAAGTTACTTAGATCTAAACCAGTGTCTAAACTCCAGTGTGAAATACACATTCATTCAATCATTCATTCCTGGCATCTAATCCATCAATTCCTGTGTTGTCTTCTCCCTTTTTCTCAAAATGAAACAGTTATGGCCACTGTGTATTTGTTCAGAAAGTTCTGCAGTTCCAATTAAAATGGCATGCATTTCTTGAAAACAGGCAGTTTTTAAACATTGTGATCCTTTCTTTACAAAAAAAAGGAAAAAAACCTGAATGTTTTGACACTAAGGAAAGAAATGTCAATGTGTTTTCTTCAACATTTGTTTGGAAGTGAGGGAATTGATTATTATTTTCTGTCCCTAAGCTGAGCTATCCTGTGCTTTCCTGCATGAATATCATTTTAAAATATCAACATCTTCTCTTTATCATTTGTAAATTTATAGTTCTGGACATGTGTGTTACATTTCTCTCTCTCTGTCTCTCTGTCTCTCCCTCTCACACAGACACACAGAGAGCGACCTAGAAAATAACTGAAGAATAAAAATAACATTGTGATAGTTACTCTGTTTCATGACATGACGATTGTGTCTTCACACACTTCACACTTCTATCACTATGGAATACTAAATGGAAAGGATAATTTTATACTAGTACTCAATGTAGAGTGTTTGCTTTGGTCTTAGTACCAAAATACATGGGAAATGTACCAAGAAGTGTTAAACATATTAGCAGCAATATGCAGAAAACTAAACCAGAGTTTTCTTTACCTCCCAAAAAAGTGGATGAGGAATAAGAGAAATGATGCTGGGCTTTCTCTATAATTCTAATTTGACTGTTACCAAATTGTACTCCTAAGGCATTGCATATACACAACTTACAATATTATCCTCCCAAATGTACAACATGAGTAACTTTGAAAATCCCTTTCTAATGTACAGAACAATCAAAGCAGTTTTCCTATGGAATGTATTCCCACATAGATTTGCTGCATACAGAGATCAATAAGGCCACAATCAACCATATAGTAATACCCACATTAGTTGATACCTGTACTATCTTCCTAGTCTTGAGGAAAGGCAGGCTATTATTAAATACACAAGAACTGGAGTATGCAAGAACTGTGGTCTTTTCCTCTAGGTTCCACAGTACACGTGTTTCCTCTAGTCTGTTTTCAGTAGTTTTAGTAGATGTGGTTGGTTGGTTTTAAAAGCATGTTTCCCATCTAGTTCCATAACTAAACAGTACTGGGCTACATGGACCAACGGTCTGTCTCAGTATAAGGCAGATTTAACATACATATTATGGGTATGGAAACTGTGGTGCCTTTTTTCTCTTGATTAGTCAAGGTTAAAAGTAGACTTAGATGATCATTGACATCTTCATTCTCAGAAGGACTTGCCATTTGCTAATATAGAGTAACCTTCTTGGTCAGATCTCTGCAATTTTTCAGAAGTAGTATATATAAGGAATAAGGCTTGTGTTATGGACATAGCTATAGCTAACACTGAGCACAAGAGGGCAGACTTTAACTTTCTACAGAAAGAGGCTCCACACCAAGATTGTTGTCTTGGTGATGCCAGCATCACAGCTTAATGGATAAATGGTCTTTCTGAAGCTACCTGCCCAATTTAATAATGATCACTTTGGGATATAATCTGAGAGCAGACAAAAATATTCTCTAGGCTGGTTTTGTTTATCATGTGCTCTGTTTGAGAAGAATAATATTCTACTAGCATTTCATGTTTATTTGAGTTATAATTTTAAGTCCCGCCATTGCTAATAAATCATTGTTTGCATTAGTCCATGTAATACAGACAACATATGTTAGTTTACATATCAGAGAATGCTCTGGACACTATAAACTGACCCTCTGAATGTGTCATTATAGCCAGGAAGTGTCAAGGATAAATCACACAGGAGGATCTCTCTAAATATTTTATTTGTAACCTCCAAAGTACTCTTTTAGTTCCATTATTGTTGTTGTTATGTTCCTTCAGGTTGTTTCCAGCTTCTGGCATCCCAAAGATGAACCTATTACTGTGGGATTTTTTGCAAGATTTGCCTTCTTCTGAGGCTGAGAGAGTGTGACTTGCCCAAGGTTCCATGGCTGAGCAGGGATTCGAACCCTGGTCTTCCAGACTCTTAGTCCAAAACTCAAACCACTACACCACACTGGCTCTCCCAATACTGATTCCATATTATTGCCATAAACAAAATAAGAATTTGACAAGAATTCTGTCAGTGAATCTCAATGAGAGGAGATCCGTTGAATCAATTGTTGAACGGTAAGTCAACATGTTGGGAAATCCCATTAATTCAACGCATCAATTTTAGTCAAGACTAACTGTTGGATTTAGGCCCTTGATCATTGTCATTTTGTTTATTGATGATCATATATCTACCAATACTACTGTATAAGATAAGAGATAGTATTAGTACCACCATGATACATTTCAGCAGAGAAGAATTGTGACTTGATAGTAGGTTTAGTCCCCAGTATCTCTAGGCATGGCAAGAGAAAACTATGCCTGAAACTCTGTAGTTCACTGGTGACGATCCCCAGCATTTCTTAAGTAGGGCAGGATACTTTGGAGAGACAGTAAAGGCAATACACAGCCAGTTACTGCAGACAGTACTGAGGTAGACCTCCAAGTCATTTCCTATTGAAAAAGTGCCTCTCCTGGGCCTAAAATGCCCAGAGGGAGCCTAAAACATTGTGAAGTGTCCTCAGGGTGTCGGGGGACATTTGAGGGTCAAAAAGGTTTTTAAAAACAATTTAGCGGTGCAGCCTTTCAAGGTCTACAAGGGGCTATATGCCTACCAGCTCCTTACAGTTGTCTACCCTGCCATAAACCAATGAGAATGGTGGGCATTACAAATACTGTTCTGGTTGCTTAGAATTTTTAGGCCCATAACTATCAGTAGTCTCAAAACTCGGGGCGGGGGGACATTTCTGTTTATCTTTGAACACTTGTCTCTCTGGGAGGAAAAAGGAAGAGATGGCACTATTACCACTTTCCCTTCAACAAAGCATCAAGGCTGACCCAGTGCAAGGCCACTTCCTCAAAAACCTGTAGTATTAACACAGATCACTCACTGGAGTTTTACTGACCCCTTCTCTCATTTAAACTCTTTCTCCCCACTGCATCCTGCATGGACTTTTGGAACTGAACAAAGTTTCAAAGGGAGGTTGTAAAACAACCTGGATGTGAGGGAAAGAGAGGCTGCTCTACAAAAGCAGGTGAGGTCAGAGGGTCTCAGTGTGTGAAAGCCCCAGGTTGTACCAAAGTGAGCTTTCTGGGTTCTTAAAATCTTTTTTTTTATAAATTGTATGTCAAAGGGTTCACTTGTTCAAAAAGAAATATAGTGGTAGAGAAAAGACTACATTTTAGCAAGAATGCATTTCAAAATGATTTTCAGACTAGAAAAAGGCCCCCAGCCCCCATTTCTACTAAAATTCAATATAAAATTCAATATGACTAAAATTGCAATATTGGGAAAGATGACAGGATTGGATCTAGATGTGTGTGTGCAGCTGAATTGGTGGAAGGGGTCTTTCCTACCCCTCCTCCCATGGAAAGCCCTCCGGCCAGTGGCAGCTACTGGTACCAGTTTCAATGGGTGCTGTCCAAACTGTAAAGAAACTATGCAAAGAGATCTTGTAGCACCTCTGAGACCATGGGAAAGAAGTTGTAGCATAAGCTTCTGTAGACTTAGGGGGGTTGCAGACTGCCAGAAATAGTGCAAATTGAGTCCACTTTTAGTGCAAATTGAGTCCACTTGGGTTAGTGCTAGGGAATCATGGGCATTGGGTTTTTTCTGAGACATTGAGCCTTCTCTGTCAGAGAGCTCTGGTGCCACAATAAAATACAGTCCCCATGATTCCCTAACCCTAACCCTAAAACCCTAACTATTTCTGGCAGTCTGCAACCCCCCTTAGTTTACTTCCCCAGATACATGGAGTGAAATGGTATACAGGAAGGACTTTTATAATCAGACTATATGAACAGCCATAGAAATGCAAAACTTGTGGGTATGGTGATGAAGTGACTAGTTCAGTTTCAACTGTGGTTGTTGAGGAACAAAAGCAAGAGGAAAGATGTTGCCTAAAGCCAGGGAGAGTGGATGACCATATGAATGGTGGAGGGAATTTTGGAATGTGGTGTATTCAGCCTGGGAACCAGAAAGGAAATTTGGCTAAGAGCATCTTAGTGAGGCTGGGGTGTTAACCATTGTTAGGGTATGTGTAGTGTGCCAGAAACTATTCAATATTGTGACCCCCATCCCCTAAATAGGTACAGCACCTTAGAGAACTCCTTTGAAATTTTGTCTACAACCCACAGTGAAAATTCACTGAGCTGTTGACTTGGGAGTCAACAGCTGCTACTGCCTCCAGCCTTCTGCAGATGCTCCACAAAGGATTGTAGGACCCTATTCATCAGAATGAACTATAGAACAGGAGGGAGATAAATTTCCTCCAAATTGGACAGAGGTGCCTTCCATCACTGCAAGGCAGATTCTGCACCATTATGTTATACAGTGACATCTAATGAATCTAAGCATGCTGATGTTTGGGATATATTTTCCCCATCAAGTATCTCTGCATTTTTTTAAGCTTTGTGCCCATTCCCCATAATGACACCTGCGAAGGGTTAAGATTTACAGTAGCACAAATAACTGAAACCAGGCTAATCTCTCAAAAACTGGAGAGAGTGAAAATCTTAACATTAACATAATTCCTTAACATGCAAAATGAACCAGAAGTGTTTAAAAACAGAGGTGTTTCCATCAGGCAGTTAAAATTCAGCAAGGAGAGATCAAGGAGGAGCTTCCAGGGGATAGGAAGCTGTGAATAGAAGAGCTTCTTATGACCAATTTTCTTCCATCATAACACCTGAAGTAGGAATGTATCAGATTGCTTAAGTAAACCAGGAAGAACGCATTTCCACAATTCCCTCATTATTGCTCTTGGAATAGAAAATTCCATGTCCAGCATCATAGTGTTTGTCTCTACACTGGAAGCTGATGCAAGTAACAGCATTTTGGAAATGAGGATACTAGGATATACAGTCTTGGTCCCTTTCTGAAGCACTCTATTACTATCATCTTCCGATTCTCCTACTCAGGTAAGGATAATGGAAGACTTTCCTCTTCACAGGTCCTCTTTCAGCTCATCACTGAAATCAGACACAAGTTCAACATTTGAACAGCTTCATATGAGTCAGATAACAAAGAAAAATAATGCTGGTTAGAAATATCACTATGAAACGTATTCTGTTTCAAATGTAGCAGCAAACATTTTTTTAAAGGGGGGGATTAGAATGGGTCAGGAAAGGGGAAAATATAAAACATGCATAAAATTTCAGTTGTGAAAAGACAGAAGTTAATTATTATATCATAAAGAGAGAAAATGCAGAACTTTTCATCCCTTCACAATCAGAAAAGATCAATTTCTCAAGGATGTCTTCATTTAATACAGAGCATTAGGGCAGTCTCAGTATGAATACAATATTGATTTTTCATAACCCTTTTTATACATATTTAGATAGCCTAAGGCAATAACAGTAGATTTGAGTCAACTGATGGAAGTCTCAAATCCACCTGGTTAATTGTAAGAAATATTCTCCCACCTTCACTTCTACTTTATGAAGACAGGGTTTTAGTTAAACTGGAAATGATCACAGCTGCTCATTGCCTCACAGGTGGCAGTTAGCAAATCTTCACTTCTAGATAGGCAATTCTCCTGTGAGTTCAAAACACCAAGGCACAGATTCCAGTCATGTACATCTGTATTCTGAGAGAATTTAGATGAGGAAAATAGTCTTTGCAAACAGCTAGTATAGAATAATAGACTGGATAAGTAAGCAGCATTGGCACTGAAATTCTTATAACATCCTCTGCCCTCTTGACATCCCACCAAGCTTGGATTTTAAGTCTCAAAAAAATAGTGCTACATTCTGATCCCTAATATGTCACCTTGGAGCAAATCCACAACTTGCTGTCTCCTAAATTTGACATGTCAAGACATCAAGAACTTATTAGTACTTATTGACTATGTTTGCATGTCACACTAAATAAGAAATGAACTCCAGCAAGCCTCAGGGTTGTTCAGTCACTTCCCCTTCCTATTCCTATTGCTGTGTTACTGGAAGGAATTGCCAAAGAGGTTTTGCTTTTATTTAATCATGACTTGTTGTGTAATTTGGACCAACAAAGTGCCATTAACATTAGTTTCAGGCAAGCCAGCTTCAGCCCATAGATGGGGTATACATTGACTTGTAGTCAAAGACTCAGTCTAGATTCCAGTTCATAAGCAGTAGGAACTGGCAGACAACAGTTATGCCAGAATCATGTTGGTAAATTATACACGCACACATGCACATACATATTATACTGGCAACAGTAGTTTTTTAGGTCTTCCACAAGGAGATATACAGTACCTTCTTGCATAATGCCTTTGCCTTGGGAGCCATGAGCACAAGGCCTCCTGGGTGCAGCTCCACCTCGTGACCATTGATGGACCCACCCATCTGCCTATGCACACCAAGGGGAAAAGAAGCAGCTAGGTTACAAATGACACACAAGATTGCTTAGTCCCCAAGTGGCTAAGAAAAAATCACAGTTTTAAGTGGTATTACTATAGAGAAAAGATCTAAGTTTTATTTTTACATAATCACTTTTAGATCTATCTAGCAGTCCCATCTGTTGAAATCCATAGGTTTAAGCATACCCAATTCTCCCCAAGAGCCAGTGTGGTATAGTGGTTTGAGTATTGCACTATGGCTCTAGAGTGTGGTATAGTAGTTAGAGTATTGGACTATGGCTCTTCCCCACTTGAACATAAAAACTCATTGGGTGACCTTGGTCTAGTCACACTCTCTCAGCCTCAGAGTGTGGCGGTGGCAAACCTCCTCTGAAGAAACTTGCCAAGAAAACCCCATGATAGGTTCTCCTTAGGATAGCCATTAGAGGCACACAACAACAATACCAAATTCTCCCTAGGATTGGGCCACTCATGATGTGTGACAAGTTGTCCCATCCTTTTAGTTTGTCCATAAATTCATCTATTGTGTTACAAATTCACCATACATTCTTTTAAATAAAAATGTTATATTCTAATAAGTATCGTATGTACATCCAGGTCAAAAGCTAACAATAACAGTTTTCTAGTTGGGAA